GTTATAGCAATAATAAGTTTGTTTCATCGGCAATCCCACCAAAGAATATCATTGCTGGAAAATTCTACTACAACTCCTTCATCCGTTTAAACGAAATAGGGTGAATGCATCTCATATGTTTCCATACTTAAAATCTCCAAATAAGACCAAATTACACTAGTTCCTTATCTGTTTTTGAGTGTAATATGACAATAAGTAAGTAACTTCTAAGCCATAGTTGGATTATGTGACAAAAAACTGTTTACTGAGAAGCTTTTTGATCCTTGAAATGGGTATAACAAAGGCTATGATTAATTTTATTCCTGGACAAGGAATGACAGCCTACCGAGAAATATATGATAAGAGACTCGAAGTGTTTGAGCTTTCCAATCACGTATTCTCTCATCATACTCTCCAAGTATGCTCCAGAAGATTATTATCCTTTATTTCCTTATTTAAATTTGGTGCTTGACAATCACGTTACTAAAAGATGCATTACAACTTTATCCTGTTCCAGAATGATATGGAATTTGATTTAAGTTGATATAAATTTATAATTTATTATTTTGACGTCATTAATTAACGTTAAGCTTTTATACAATTACCCGATATTCCCATCCTTTCTTCTTATCCTCGCGCAGTTCACCGGATGCCTTTCTGGGTATGGCCCTGATGGGCCGGAATCTTACATTGGATCACCTCGAGATTTGTTTTAGCTATTTGACAGCCTCACTTGCCTCCTCTTATGATCATGTGAATTCAAGAAGTCTTGTAGTTGAATTGATGACGCATCCCGGATGGCCATTATCGCCCGGCGACGCTGGTTGCTGCCATTTGACCGGGGCTGACGCTTTTTCCCAGTCTTTAGATCGGCTTCACGAGCTCCACTTGCTGACCAGTTATGATTTTGCCCATTTCCTGTCTTCGCGTGGAATTAGTATCGTTAATTTTTCAGATCTGTAGGCTCTGATCGTCTATTTCGATAGGGTAGCCTGAGGAAAAATTACTTTTGTGTGTTGAATTTCCTTCACTGACATGAATAAACAAGTTGTGCATAATTAATACTCTACTTGAGCTGATGCGGCTTCAAAGTTTGTTAATCACTTTAGCCCTTATTATTGTGTTCATATGATATAATTCAGATTGTGGCATTTTTTGAACTGTTTACTACGACTTTTTGCTTTCATTCGAAGCTCTCTTACGCTCATGGTTTAGTCTATGCTTTTGAATGCTTAGTAAATCTGATGGAACAGTCACTACTGAATTTTTTAAGCACTAAAATTTAACAAAGGTAGAAGTCATTTAGATACGAAGAGAAATTGGATTTCAATGAATATCCTGAGATACCGTTGTTGGGGTACTTATTTCGTATGAAAGTGCATGAAGAATAGATTCGCAAGTCGATCTCACCAGAAGAGGACGGCTGAATACCGTTGTACCACAGCCGTTTGGCTTTTATGCGACCTTCAGTCCACGAGATCTCTTTCCTCGTTTCGGGTGAAAACGGGCTGAGATTTTATCCACCATATGATGGACATCATCAGAGCTGGAACTCATTCTTGTAAAAGTCTCAAGTTAACACTAAGGAAAGAAGACTACCCTTACATCTTATATAGACTCAATTAAGCAAAAGAAAATTAAAAAACCTAGATAGACGTATAATGGTTTGGCTAATTATCATTCATAATGATCCTGCTACTTTTGCTCAAGTATGTGTGTGTGTGTGTGCTAAAGTCTATACGCAATACCGGTCATAAATCAGAGTGATCAAAAGGCTGATGTCAAGCTCTGGTCATTTATGCCTAATGATCCAAGAGACCCTGACTGGGACTGCGTATATGCGTAATCAAGTATGGTTGGGATAATGAGATGTAAGCTTGTAAGTATGTAAGTCAAGTTACGAAGTCACTCGCCCTAAGCTCTCAGTCTTGGGTCATCAACGTTTAACCACCCAAGTAAAGGCATGACTGGGGCTGCGTAATCTGGCACGTCTGGTTTGGTTAATGAGCTTAATCTGGCATTTTGGACGAATGTGAGTGAAATTAGAAATATCACTGAGCAGACAAATTGAGTCGCCTTCTTTTAAAAGTCGGCTCAACACCCTCTCTCCCCTTTAATCTATCAATCAAGTATAAATAGTGCCTATTCGACTTTCTATCACCGTTCCTTACATTCAACATATTTTCTAAGCTATTAATTTCAATAGTCTCTCTTATCTTTTTTTTAACAGCAGACGTACCATAATCATCAAACCCACTTGTTTGAGACCACTCTATCTCATGTCCAGTCTTTGCCATGCGTTTGGCCACTTCTGACCGCTGAACCCAACTTTTTTTACACGCATTTCTACGTTCCCCCAACCTTTGTCGAATAGGTCGTCATGTCTCACCAACATAAGGTCGATCACAGGAGCAAACAACCTTGAAGCAGCCAGATCTCGATAATGGGTCATATTTTTCTCTAAAATATCACATAGCAGGAGAAAGTGTGAGGGTTTCTTTAAACACAGTTTTTGTCCCCCAATTTCCTACTAATTCACCTACTTTTTTCTGAAAGAAGCAAGGGCTACGATAGAGCGGGATAGTCCTCTTGACCAAGTGTTAAAGTTACACTTTTACAAGAATGTGCTACAGCTCTGATGATGTCCATCACGAAAGCTCTGCCCGTTTTCTCCGAAAATGAGAGAGAAGGTCTTGTGGACTGCGTCAACCTGAACGTCGTATACAAGGCAAACGGCTGCAGTACAACGGGATTCCGCCATCCTCTTCTGGTGAGATCAACCTTCGAATCTCTTCTTCATGCGCTTTCTTGCGAAATGAAAGTCCCCCAACAAGAAGTCATATATTTAGGCGTATACTTTTGAAGGATAGGCCAATCCTGAGTTTTTACTGGAGGCAAATAAGCGCTTCTTCGACAATGTCATTTCGATCTACATTCATGATGGTCTAAAAGTCATTTTTTCATCTACAAATTGTTAAGTGTGATGGGAAGACAAACGTATAAAGCTATTTTTGCAATTAAATTAACGGCTGAGATAAACAAATGAGATAATTTGACTTTAACTGTTGGCAAGACTAGCTATGCTAATTCAGTCAAACCATGACAGTGCAGCGTGTATTATCTACCCTGTAACCACTACGCCACATTGCCACAAGTGCCCTTGGGTCACGGGGCAGATGTGAATTTCAAGGAAGGCCAGGCATTTTTTCATATCATATTCTTTGGTGGGGTTGTCGATGAATCAAATTTATATTTGCTATGACAATCGACTACATTACTTATGGACGAAAAATATATCAGAATAGGTTAGGTGCCAAAATAATTATTACTAACTAGTTTTCTGGAAAAAAAACTTAAGGTCTTTTTACATTGCAAGAGTTGTCTTGCTGCCTTGGTAACCTTGGCTAGACAAAATTAATCATTTTAGCATCAAATTCGAAGGCATTATCCAATGACTGGACTGTAGCTTTGAGAAGTCCCTTTCTCAGAGATGTGAGTCAGTGATTTAAAATAATAAAGTAAGGCCTAGCAATTAGTCATATAACCTTTTCTCGATTTACTTCTTGATTGGCAAAATGGAAAGGTAGCTCGATTAACTTTATTTTATTATTTTACTAATCTCTTCGGATACTCTTGCCCGAAAAATGTTGGCCTAACAGTCTTGATGAGTTCTGGTAATGTGCCTGCCCTCATATTTCTATTTAAATTACTTTTTTGAAATTATTTCACAAGTTGATTTGATCATCGATTATAAATTTCCTTCTTTATTTTGCTACTGTAACTCATCTTCTTTAAAGTTGCCCTTGAACTCCTGACAAAATTATGACAAATAAGTTGACGCATATGCTTCCCTAACTTTGCACGCCTTTTCTCAAGAAGAATAGGGCTTGCATTTTCTTACTTATCAAGTACAATTTAGGAAAATACAATTGCAGGTCGGGCCAAATTGCATTACCTATTGTAAAAAACTTTGTATTTAATGAGAAATAAGATTTGTTATTCGACCAGAGTATCATATTTAGTCATCCAAGGTCCCCAAAAGGTGATGCAAAGACTAATAGTTGAATATTGTGACATGACTATCAATTTTGAAGGAAAAGTTGGTCAGAAGGAATTCGTGATCTGGTCTCACTGGAAACCGAAAGAGAATTGCCGCGTAGGGAAGACTGTTGAATTGTGCGAAGAAATCCCCGGCTCATCGTCCCGCGACTCTGATGAAGCAATATATCACTAAAACATTCTTCCAAATCCAGTTACCGATACACAGGAGCAGATTGGCTGGTATAGGGAAAAAAGTACAAAAGAATGATCAAATAGTTCTTCAGGCGGATAAGGGGGGTGCGACGGTTGTAATGGACAAGAAACA